AAGAACCACAGACGTCTGATTGAAAATTAGAATGATGTAAATTGATGTTATCAGTGTCTCTGATACACATAAAAAATATAGAAAACCTCTTTACAATCTCTTTAACAAGAACCACAGACGTCTGATTGAAAATTAGAATGATGTAAATTGATACTATCAGTGTCTCTGATACACATAAAAAATTAAGAAAACCTCTTTATAATCTCTTTAACAAGAACCACAGACGTCTGATTGAAAATTAGAATGATGTAAATTGATGCTATCAGTGTCTCTGATACACATAAAAAATATAGAAAACCTCTTTACAATCTCTTTAACAAGAACCACAGACATCTGATTGAAAATTAGAATGATGTAAATTGATGCTATAAGTGTCTCTGATACACATAAAAAATATAGAAAACCTCTTTACAATCTCTTTAACAAGAACCACAGACGTCTGATTGAAAATTAGAATGATGTAAATTGATGCTATCAGTGTCTCTGATACACATAAAAAATATAGAAAACCTCTTTACAATCTCTTTAACAAGAACCACAGACGTCTGATTGAAAATTAGAATGGTGTAAATTGATGCTATCAGTGTCTCTGATACACATAAAAAATATAGAAAACCTCTTTACAATCTCTTTAACAAGAACCACAGACGTCTGATTGAAAATCTCTTTAATATAATTTAACTTACGTTTGATGTACTTGGTTTCCCACCAGTAACGTACGGTAATTTTAGATTCACGTCACCTGCCTCGTTATATTGAGCAATACCTCGAAATTTCTTCATATCATTCGAACCTTTCGGTAGAAATTTTTTGAAGCTGAGGAGAATTCTAAAAGAAGAAATGAAATGAAATGAATAGAGTTTTAAGTCAGAACCTGACTGGCTATTGCAGTGTGCAATTAGGGAAATTTGCCAGGACAGTATTCTTTTTTTGATTTCCAACTGTTGAGGGATCTTTAACGTGTACAGTCTGTAGCACACGGGATCTCGGTTTATTGTCCCTTCAGAACGACTAGACCCTTTTTCGATTTCCAACTGTTGAGGGATCTTTAACATGTACAGCCTGTAGCACACAGGGTCTCGGTTTATTGTCCCATCTGAACAACCATGTCTGTCCCTCTCACCTGCATCACTGACAGGGGGAAACAGGGTTGAAAAATCTGAAAGTATTATCTCAACCTATGCTGGGATTGAACCCTGGGCCTACAGGTTAGCGAGCAAGCATCTAACTCACTGACAGGGGGAAACTGGGTTGAAAACATCTGAAGGTATTATCTCAACCTATGCTGGGATTGAACCCTGGACCTACAGGTTAGCAAGCAAGCGTCTAACTCACTGAGCCACCCAAAGGTATTATCTTGACTTATGCCAGGATTGAACCCTGGATCTTCAGGTTAGCGAGCAAGCATCTAACTCACTGACAGGGGGAAACTGGGTTAAAAAATCAGAAGGTATCATCTCAACCTATGCTGGGATTGAACCCTGGACCTACAGGTTAGCCAGCAAGCATCTAACTCACTGACAGGGAGAAACCAGGTTGAAAAATCTGAAGGTATTATCTCAACCTATGCTGTGATTGA